GGTACAACTCAATATTTGCTCAGGATTTGCTCGGTATTGCTAGGGATTTGCTCGGTACTGCTAGGTATTTGCTCAGTATTGCTAGAAAAAACTCGGCACAACTCGGTATTTGCTCGATATTACTAGGTATTTGTTCGGTATTGGTTATTGCCGAGCAAAATCGACTAATACCTAGCAATACCGAGCAATCTTGGGTCCGTTCCGGGTCGAATTGTCGGGGCGCGCGGTAAATAATGAAAACGTGTGGTGCGATTCTACTGACGGCCGAACGTAGAGTTGCGTACGTTCACCGGACCAAATAAAAGCTCCATTGTGAGGTGGAACCATATGGGTATAATTGATTAATCTTTATCATATAATTATCAAAGTTTATCAACTAATATATTATATTTAAAATAATTTAATATTTAATAAAAAATTATATTAATTAAAGTACTTTAATAAATTATGCATTGAATCTGTCGATTCTAAAAAATCGGGATCGGTTCACTTGTTGAACCAACGGTTCAAACTAATTCCCGCCAGTTTGATGTTGGGTTTTTTTTCATGAGGGCCGAATCGGGACTGGCCGGTTCAGTCCGTTTTTCAAAATCATGGCTTTATCTAAAATTTACGTATTTTTATATATTTTTTTACAATCTTTCTTAGATATAATTGTAAAAAATAGCAAAAACCTCGAAAACAATTATTGGCTAAACTATGGAAATTTTACTTTCAAGAAGAACCGATTCTAAGATAAATCTTAAATCATTTTGGGCAAAATTGCCCTAACATTAATCTTTTGTTTAATTTAAATTTTAAACAAGAAAATAGAATGGAGAGTCTTGAGAGTAAGTCTAGTTTAGTTATGTAGAGAAAGAAGATTTTACTTTCAATAAGAACCCTACTAGCAAATCTAGTTATCTAGAGCAAGAAAATAGAATGGAGATTAAGTAGATATAATGAGCAGCAAAGAAATCAAATTATATATGTGAAAAATACATCATTTGATAAGTACATGCTGGTATATCATTATTTACATGATATACATACATAGCATAGACATTGTACGACAAACATATAATAATAATATGTGTACTAATGTAATAAGATGTTATATAAATTATTTTGTAACTACTAAGTATAGGACTGATATAACTTATTGATCATTGATTATGAATTGTATTGATTGCACTTATTTTATTGCTTATATGATATGAAGCTGGTCACATTGACTATCACATATTTTATAATTAAATATTCATATTAATATTGACTAAATGATTACATGCATGTTATTTATATTGCATTGCAATTATTTTAGTTATAGGTTATGATAACTTATTGAGCAGTTAGCTCGCTCAATAGTTTTTACATGATTTTAGGTATGGTATGGGGTCCAATGGAGTGAGGACGGATATAGTATTCAGTTTTTTTTTTTTATTAATTGATAGTCAATAACTAAAAGATAAACTTGTTAATATATGTATTGAATTCTTGTCTATTATTTATGAATTTTTAAAAATGAATACAGTTGATTATTTCAATGAATATGAATTATAGTTACTTCCACTAATGATTATGTTAATTAAAAGAGATTAGTGACTCTGATAAATTAATTAATAGATAAATAGATAATCCTTCTAAAATTACATCATGGGGTGTTATAACAAATGCCCTATATGAGTCCTCCATGATGATGATTTAGACGAGTCCATGAAGGCAAACTCCACATGCAACTAGCAAACCCCTCGAGATGAGTTACAAGTCATATATGAGAGTATTCCATGTGAGTGGCTGTGAGCTAGGGGTGAATATAATTGGACTCAAGATTGTAGGCTTTATATATGTGTGTCTCCTATAGTTTGGACGATGATATCTATAGAAGTTGGATAGCCTTGATTGGGAGAGCTACTGAAAGAGACAAAAATTTATAAAGTAAGTGCTCCTTAAGTAAAGGCTTGGTGGAGTAAGATCTATGGTTAAACTCACTCAAAATATGTGCTTCCTTGATATAGCTCTTATAATGTGAGCTTTATATGATAGCCAACACTTAATTACAGTAATTTTCTCTTCACTTTGGGGTATCTTCAATAAGAATGCTTGATCGTGACATGGAAGGTGGAGAAGATAGATTTAAAAATATTCACTAAGTGCCCAACAATATTTCATTGTAGGTGGATGAAGAGTCTATTATAATGAAGTCGGAAATTCCCTTGTTTTGATGTTCTCTTTCTCCCCAAGTGATTGATAAAGTGTGCATTCCTTCAATCTCCTTCCTTTCCCTATACATTCAATAGTAGGCCAAATGTTGGAGTTAGGTGAGAAACACCTAGATTCATCTCCCAAAAAAATGCTTATGAGGATGGTATTGGCAAAACTTAATATAATTAGAATGAAGTCAATTTGATAGGTGAAGGTTAATGTTGTAACAACTACAATATCACCAAATGGAATCCCATTCATCAGCATTTTTCCCTCAATAAAATTGCTAAAGTGACTTTAGGATGAGAAGTCCTGCATGTGCTTGCCAAGTTTACCTCTCCCAAATAAATTTGCATGTTGTCAACTTGTTAGGAAATATTAATATTTACAGTTCCCGCTAATTAATTTGTGAAGGCCCACTAACCTTTACAAAGATACATAGTAATTATTTTTTAGAATCCATAATATTTACAAAGACCCATAAGAACTTTGTGTCAATTGACAAACATTAACAAAGACCCATAAGAACTTTGTGTCTATCTAAAAAGCTATTTCATTTACTAATTTTT